AATAGAATTGGCCAAATGGAAAGGGATGTACAAATGCTCACTGAAGAAAATAATGCCTTAAAAGTTAGAATTTGGTAAGTGGAAGCTAATGACCTTATGAGACATCAAGAAACAATCAAACAAAATCAAAAGAATAAAAAATGAAAGAAAATTTGAAATATCTCATTAGAAAAAACATCTGACCTAGACAATATAGCCAAGAGAGATAATTTGAGAATTATTGGATTACCAGAAAGTAATAATAAAAAAAAGAGCCCAGACATCATCTTTCAAGAAATTATCAAGTAAAGGTGCCCTGATATTCTAGAACCAGAGAATAAAATAGAAATGGAAAGAATCCACCAATCACCTCCTGAAAGAGATCCCAAAATGAAAACTTCTAGAGATATTGTAGCCAAATTCCAGACCTCCCAGAGCAAGAAGAAAATACTGCAAGCATCCAAAAAAGAAACAATTCAAATATTGGGAAGTTACAATCAGGATAACACAAGATTCAGCAGCTTCTACATTAAAGGATCAGGCAATGGGTAGGGGGTTGTTAAGGAATTAGGTAATGGGGGTGGAGTTCCAGCCTCAGTGGAACTGTGCATGTGATTACCCACAATGCATATAGAAAAACCCACTTGGGGGGGCTTATATGTATGATAATGATATTATAATAAGCCTCTCTACATCATAAGTTCACCTAAAGGACAGCTTTTGCTATTACTGTGCAGGTGCTTACTTGGGGAAAGTCCCTTCTATTGTGTTGGGGTCCACATCCCGCTTGGGCATCCTGGTGGTACCGCTTTCTGATTAGCTGACCATTGTGGCTCTGTCTGAGACTAGATGGATGTGGTTGTGGCTGAGTGCATGGACACATCTGCTGTTTCTGTGGGAAATATGAGGAATGGGTGTGGGGATGGTGCCTAGATAGAGGCAGCGGCTGGGATCCCATCACATGGACATGCCTGCTGGGAGAAATAAGAGTTCATGGACACACTTGTTGTTTTAGTTAGGCATATGTGAGGAAGTTAGGCTATTGAGTTGCGGGTTGGCCAGTGGCTAGGTAGAGGCAGTGGGCCTGCTGTTCAGTGGGATCTATGATTGAGCCTAGGGGCCTGTGGTGTGGTGGAAGCCAGATTGTGTGGCTAAATCTGGACAAGCCTGTTGTTCAATGAGTCCCATAAGGAAGTTAGAATGTTGGGGCTGGAGGCAGCTTTATTAGGATTCCATCGGGGGGGAAAGGATAGAGGGAAATACATAATTGGTAATCATTATCAACCAAATTTTTACAGTGAGTTTCTCTGATAAAGACTTCATTTTTCAAACATACAGAAAGGTGAATCAAATTAATAGAAATAAGTGCCATTCCTCAACTGAGCAATAGTCAAAGAATATGAATAGTCAGTTTTCAGACAAAGTAATCAAAGCTATCTATAGTCATTTGGGAAAAAAAACTGCTTGGACTATTGATGAGAGAAATACAAATTAAAACAACTCTGAGCTACTACCTCATACCTGTCAGATTGATTAATATGACAGAAAGGGAAAATGACAAATGTTGGAGGACACATGGGAAAATTAAAACACTAATGTATTATTGATGAAGTTGTATTTAACCATTCTGGAGAGCAATTTGGAACTATGCCAAAAGGGCTATAAAACCATGCATACCCTTTGACCAAGCAATACCACAACCAGGTCTGTACCCCAAAGAGATAAAAACACAAAAAGGAAAAGTACCTATGTGTACAAATTTATAGCACCTCTTTTAGAGGTGGCAAAGCATTGGAAATTGAGATGTCCATCAATTAGGGAATGGCTGAATAAGTTGTGTATGATTGTGATGGAATAGTATTGTGCTATAAAAAATGATGAGCAAGATGCTCTCAGAAAAACATGGAAACACTTACATGAACTGATGGAAGGTGAAATAAGAAGAACCAGGAGATTGTTGTACACAGTAACAGCAATATTGTATGATGATCTACTATGAATAACTTAGCTATTCTCAACAGTACAATGCTCTTAGACAATTCTGTAGGATATATGATGAAAGGTGCTGTCCACCTACAGAGAAAGAACTGATAAAGCCTGAATTCATATCAAAGGTACTTTTTCTTTACTTTTCTTGGAGGGTTTTGTCTGTTTGTTTTCACAGAATGACTTACATGGAAATGTGTTTTGCATGACTACACATGTATAACCTATGTCAAATTGCTTGTCTTCTCAATGAAGGGGAGGAAGGGAAAGAATTTGGAACACAAAACCTGGAAAAAAAAGAATTTTAAATCTGTTTTTACATGTAATAGGGAAAAAAAATATTAAATAAAAAAAGAATAAGAAATATGTCCTCCAACTGCTGCAATCACTTGTTTTAGCACAATGTGGCAATAAGTTTACAAGATTCTGATATGCATTCTTTAATTCATCATGAAACTATACTTTTATCATATTGGACATTAAGTGTCACTTTCATTAATAGACTATTTTTCTAAGCTTTGATTAGAGCCCATAATATTTTTCTGTGGAGTTTAAATGAGACAACTTCCCAGGCCATTGAAGTATGTTTATTTCTATCCCTTAAATAAATTTCTTAACCTTTCATGATATGTGGCATGATTCAAGGTTGTGTTGTGCTATTCCATATTCTCTTGGGAATTTCTAAAATTCCAAAATTATTCTCTTTTCCAGTATATCAATATATGTGTTAGAGTTCATCACTCTGTAAAAGACTTCCAAGCCAGTTCAAAGTAAAAAAAAAAATCCTAAAACAGTTTTGAGAGGGGACTGTTTTAGAGCGTGACAAAGATGTCTACATCTTACAGGTTTACCTGGACTTCTGATGATACATGGTATAGCTTTGAAGGGAAAGTGAATTTCATCAGAAAAAAATAACTTTTTTCCAAATTTTCAGCACTTTAGTCTTTGTACTGTCTTGGATATGAAAAATATTTTTCTCTTTCGTAGCAATAGTTAAAAGCTATTTTTAAATAGGTCTTTTTCTTGTTCTTCCAACTTCAGAAGAAGAAGCTTATATGGAGAAATGATTAACAACCCCTCTAGCCATCAAATCTTCTTGAAGGTTGTTGCTTGTTTTCTGAGGATTAATTAGACAACCTCAAAGCAATGGTTTTTCAGTTCTTAGTTCTGGGGGGGGGGGTTTGTTTGTTTGTTTGTTTGTTTGTTTCAATTATACTGTCCTTTGATCTTTGGTAAAACTGATTCCATTTAATTATGCCATTGAACAATCCCTGAAACCCACAATTTTACCAAAAAGCCAAAAGCCACTGCAATAGTTCTAATGGTCACTGAAGTGCTATAACTATTGAATGTTTCATTGGAATAAAATACATTCTTTAAAATAATAGCATTATAAATACAAAAAAAGAGAGAAATGAAATGCGTGTATCAGACAAAATCCAAAATTCTACTGGCAGAGAACTGAACTAAAGTTCAGGTTCAAATCAGGTTCATCTAGTCATGATCAAACATTTCTTAGTCATTCTAGTGTCAAAAGAATCATATATGTATGACCATTTGGCTATCACAAAAATCATATCAAAATTGTTACTTTCCCAAGTAAGCCACACCACACTCTAGGTGCCTAATAAATGCCTTTTGACTGATGGATTAATGGATCAATGTCAACTTAGTCTTTAGATAAAGTCTCAACTATGATGGACTAGCCACTTGCCTAAAAGACTATTTTATGGAGAACTCACACAGAGCAAATGCTCATTTGGTGGTCAGAAGTGATAATACAAGGACATTCTCAAGGTCCCTCTTAAAAACTTTGGAATTGATTGTGTGACATGGGAGACACTAGCACAGGACTGCTCAGCATGGCATGCCCTCATCAGAGAAGGTGCTGTGCTCTATGAGCAAACCGGAATTGAAGTAACTCAAAAGAAATACAAGAATCCCTAATTTAGGGGCAGCTAGGTGGCGCAGTGGATAGAGCTTCAGCCCTGAAATCAGGAGGACCTGAGTTCAAATCTGACCGGAGATCAAAACTTGACACTTACCAGCTGTGTGACCCTGGGCAAATTATTTAATCTGAATTGCCTAAAAAAAACCAAACAAAAAATGAAAAACAAACCCTAATTTAGAGAATCCATCCTAAATGTTCACATGGACTATTTGTGCCTGACCTACGGTAAAATATTCCGAGCTCATATTGGTCTAATCAGCTACAGTTGGATGCATTGTAACTTGACTCTAGCATAGTGATGTCTTTTTGGTCCTCTTCAAGTATGAAGGACAACAACCAACCAACAGATGTAGTAATGCATTGGCATCACCAGTGTATTAACAGGATAAAAAAAACCTCCACTATATTGGGTAAATGCTATAGAACGATATAAAAAATTTAGACAATTATGGAGCAAAGTGAGAAAGCATTTAGGGTTAGCAGTTGCTAGTAGCTGCTATTTGTATCAAAGTATTAACAATAAAAATTAAACTATTGCTCTACCAAAGTATCAAAAGACCAACAGTAGAAGACTATGACATGTAAACAAAAAAATAAAGATTTGTATATATGATGTTTCATTTTATGACTAAGGATAACATGAAAGTTAATGTTATTATAATCAAGTTGATCTGGCATCTTAAATCGTAAAATGTCATAGTTGGAAAAGACCTGTGTAAAGATACAGTCACAACCACCTGCCTAATAAGCAAATCCTTTTCATGATACTCCCTTGAGATCATGTCTGAGTATCTCATGTAAGCAGTACTTGCCATGAAGTCCATTCAGTTTTTGGACACCGGAAATTTTTATATTATTCCTTATGATGAACCAAAACTTGTCCTTGGTTTGTACAGGACAAGTCTAATCAATCCTTCCACATGATGACTTTCCAAGTGTTTGAAGACAGATGTAATGTTCTTCCTGTAATGCCCAACAATTTCAATGATGTTAAAATCAAACAACTAAAACTAATGGGAAAACTGAGAGAAGTGAGAAAGGTTTTACAAGAACTCCTTGTTGCCTTCTTTCCACTAAAAAATATTCATTTCTCCACAGGCTGATCTAGGATACTATGGATAATCCCTCCTTTGAGACAATGCTTCATCTGCTTCAGTGAATTCAGGGATGCCTGCGGCAGCTTAATATTCCCCAAAATCAAGATAAATGAGTGGCCTGAAGGGTAAATGGCAGCAATAATCTCACCAAACATCACTGCTAGTTCTTTCTGTGGAAGAAAGTAGCTGGATGATGTTATGAGAAAGGCCAAACAGTAAATGACAAAGAGGACGAGGAAAGAGATCACAGCTTTCATGGCTCTCAAATGGATCTCTGTTCTGGGATCTCCAGCATCCCTGGCATTGAGCTTTATCTTCCTGGTATGTTTCCACATGGAGAGGATTAACAGACACAATGAGATCAGAGACAGGGTAAAAGGAAAGAAAGTCCCCAGACTGAGGAAAATCAGGGTGTTAAAGTAGACAGAGTTACTTGTATCATTTCTCTTGTTCTTTTTGCTTTCCCAGCCCTTGAAATCTTCATTAAACTTCTCTGTTATTAGGAAGCTCATGAATACAGATTAAGTAAAGATGCCAGTAGAATTATGAGGATCACTGTGTTAATTCTCCACTTCAGCCAGAGAAAAAGGGGGTGAGAGAAATTGGCTATCTTCAAACAGTAGAATATGCTAAGGCAGGGAGCAAAGCAAACACTTAACTGGTTGGCGATTGTCCAGATGCTGTCTACAAGTTTCAAAATAATTTCACAATCAAATGCCTCTGGATAAAGAATTGTTATAAAACCATCTAATAGTATCATAAACAATAGGGCAATTCTGGAGATGGCTAGGGTGGTGAGAATTAAATCAACCAAGTAGATTTTCCTTTTCTTGATCCAGTCAATGAAGTTCACCAGTCCAATGAATCCATTCCCCAAAATCCCCATTATGAACTCTCCAACCATCATGATCAGAAAGATGCTCTCCACTGCATCTAATATGTCTGCAGAGAGAAAACTCCAATGTCTAATATCACAGCTTTTGGATTAATTTTCAACCAACCTATTGAAGAGAGGTATCTATGTCATTGACCTTTTGCAGTGATTTCTTTTTTCTGTCTTTATTGTGTTCCCTGTCTCCAGAGAGAAAGCTTTGCCCTATATTTTTGTACAAGGTTAGAGTTGTTTTCATAAAATTTCCTTATTCTTTGCAAGTACATTGACCTTTTTATGGGTTTCTGGGAGGAAACTATGTGTCCTTCTATTTCCACTGCAGCTTGTGATTTTGCATGCACCATGATAACTGAAGGGTTGGGCTTCTATTTGCTTACATGAAAATAGGAAAAGATTCCCTTCCGTCATTTTTGCACATTCATTTTGATGCTACTTTGCATACAGCTCCGATTCATCATCAGTTTGACATATGAATCACATGACCCCCAAAATAATCCATATTCTTGACAATGAAGCAAATCTGAAGATGAATTTCTTTATTGCTACCAGCAATGAATAAAAAGCTCATAGGTTAGAATTAGAAATTATTGGAACAGTGAGAATAATACATATATACATATATATGCATATATATACATATATATACATATATACATATATACATATATGTGTATATATACATATATGTGTGTGTGTGTATATATATATATATATATATATATATATTATATATACACACACAAATGTAATTCAGGCTCAAAGTGAAGATTTTCTTCAATTACAGCTATAATTTAGCAAGGAAATTATTCAAATTCTAATACATTACGAGAATTCACATTCTCATCAATCAGTGATTATTTACTCAAGATTAACTATTTTATTACACACTACTCAGAATAAAAAATAAATCAACTAATTGAATTTAAAGTTCTTTTTCACAATACAGAATCAGTTTTCTGGTTATTATTTAATCTGCTTTTTGAAAGAGATGAGGCAATCTATTTTCATTATAGCGTTCCAATTTCACTATCTCAGTTTTTTTTTAAATGTTGCTAGGCTCAAAGCAATTATCTCCAGTTATCCAGAAAATTAATGTTTGAAGCTCCTCTAATTTTACCAATGAATTTCATTCATGAAGAATGCCTGTACAATTCCAAAGGACTCACGATGGAAAATGCTATCCACAACCAGAGAAAGAGCTATGGAGTCTGAAAGCAGATCAACGCATACTATTTTCACCTTTCATTGTTTTTTGTTTTTTCTTTTCCATGGTTTTTTCTTTTCATTTAGATTCTTCTTTCACAACATGACTAATGTGGAAATATGTGACACTATACACATATAACCTATAACAGATTGCTTGCTATCTTGGGGCAAGGGGAGAGAAGAGAGGGAGAAAAATCTGGAACTCAAAATCTTACAGAAATGAATGTTGAAAACTATCTTTACATGTAATTGGGCAAAAAAACTAATAAGTGCAATAAAAAAGAATGTCTCTCATACTTTATTCTGACATATGCTATATTAAAATGTTTATAATGTATGAAAATTTTCAGTTGACACCCCTCCAAGTTCACAGGAACAAAAATCCAAGAAGGAAGACAGTAGTGACCGATCAATCAACCAGCATGCATTACTGCCTGGAATTGTACTAAGGATTGGTGATTCAACACCAAAAGACGAAATATTCTCTTCGGAAGCTTGCAGTCTAGCTTACAGGGTAGCTAACACATATATAGATAAGTATTTACAAATAGATATAAAATCAAAAGAAGGTAATGGGGAGGCATAAAAGTACTAGAAACTAGAGTGATCAGAAGAGACTTTTATTCCCTTATTTCTCACTAGGCTCTTCTATCATGCCTGAGAAACCTCTTCATCCTGGAAAGTCAAGTCTGCCCTAAAATTCACTCCTGGGAAATACTTTTAGTCCCTGAGGACCCAGCCTGTGACTGGGTGGCTCCTTCTAGAACCTCTTTCTAAGGACAAGTTTTAGAACGTAAGCTCCTAGAGGGTAGAGACTGTTTTTCTCTTTGCTAGTATTTACATTCTCAGGCTTAGCACAGGTTCTGGCATGCAGTTAGCTTAATAATGGCATGTGGTCAGTAGTTGACTGACCTGGTGGCTTTATGTAGAAAGCAGTGCTTAAGCTGAGTTTTGAAGGAAAGTAGGGATTCCAAGAGGTGATGTTGAAGATGAAGTCCATTTCAGAGACAGGCAGCACAAAGGTAAGGAAACCTTTGATTTCTATATTCCTACTCATACAGATCATTCTTTGCTTTTAAAGACACAAATTTTAATTCTACCTAAATTAATTTACTTATTCAGTGCCACACCAATCAAACTACCAAAAATTATTTTATAGAGCTGGAAAAAAAAATTTATCTGGAAGAAAAAAAGGTCCAGAATATCAAGGGAACTAATGAAAAGAAATGCATGGGAAGGTGATCTAGCTGTGCCAGATTTTAAATTGTATTATAAAGCAACAATCATCAGAACTCTTTGGTACTAGCTAAGAAATAGAGTAGCTGGATCAGTGGAATAGGTTAGATATGCAAGATATGACAGTGAATGACTATAGTAACCCACTATTTGATAAATCCAAAGACTCCAGCTTCTGGGATAATAACTCACTATTTAACAAAAACTTGTGGGAAAACTGGAAAATAGTATGGCAGAGACTAGGCCTACAACAACATCTTATACCCTATACCAAGATAAAGTCAAAATGGCACATGATTTAGATATAAAGACCAATACTATAAGCAAACTAGGAGAGCAAGGAATAGTTTACCTATGAAGGGAAGAACTTATGACTAAACAAGAGATAAGGAACATTAGGAAATGCAAAGTGGCTGACTTTGATTACATTGAATTGAAAAGTTTTTGCACAAAGCCAATGCAACCAAGATCAGAAGGGAAGCAGAAAGCTGGGAAACAATTTTTACAGCCAGTGTCTCTGATAAAAACCTCATTTCTAAAACATATAGAGAATTGAGTTGAATTTATGAGAATACAAGTCATTGCCCAATTGATAAATGGTCAAAGGATATGAACAGGCAGTTTTCAAGTAAAAAAATTAAAGTTATCTACAGTTATATGAAAAAAAAATGCTCTAAATCAGTGAAATGAGCAGAACCAGGAGAATATTTTACATGGCAAAAGCCACATTGTGCAATGACTAACTTTGATAGACTTAGCTCTTCTCGGCAATGCAAGGATCTAAGACAACTCCAAAAGACTCACGATGGCAAATGCTATTCACCTCCAGAGAAAGAACTACAGAGTCTGAACACAGATGGAAGCAATCTATTCACCTTCCTTTTCTTTTGTTGTTTTGTTTTGTTGTTTCTTTCTCATGGTTCCTCCCATTAGTTCTAATTCTTTACATCATGACTAATGTGAAAATATGCTTAATATGAATGTATAAGTAGAGCCTATATCAGATTGCATGCCATCTTGGGGAGGGTGGAGGAGAGGGAGAGGGAGAAAATTTAAAATTCAAAATCTTATGGAAGTGACTATTGAAAACTAAAAATAAATAAATTAATTATTTAAAAAAAAGACATAGATTTTATCAGGAGAGGTTTGGAGGCATTGATTGAAAGTGCTGAGCCATATTTCCTTTATAATTCAACCTGATTTCCTCTTATCACTTAATTTTGTGGCCTAACTTGTTTTTCATCTGTATTACTTGTTCAAGTTTCACTTATTAATGAATTAAATACCCATTAACCTAAATAGCAAAGTCTGGAGAATATGTATTTTTCATGTACTTTGTTGGTTTAGTGTAGATGGTTAGATCTGATGAGACTTTATAACATTTTATTTTATATATCACAAAATGATATTTCCCACAAGTAGAAACATTTGAAGGACCTCTGACAACTATACTGCTGCTGTCTCTGTTCTACCAATTTGGAACAGTGACCCTCCAGGACACACTTGCAGAAACCATAGCCACCCCTCACTACATCTAATTTGCTCAGCTTTTGAACTCTGGCTTTGGGCTGTTCCTCATTGGTGGGTGAATACAAACTCACCTATAACCTACTCTATCTAGATGGTTTCATACTATGCTGTATATTTCTTTCAGACATCTGCAGAGAAATCAAAATTAAGGCCTCCTTAATCACCTTGTCATCTGCCTCATAGCTGTGTGTTGAACATTTGAGAACATTAATCACATGTATACTACCATTGATACTAGAAAGGGAGCCATACGTGACTGCCTAATGACTCTATTCATAATCCTTGTGATTCCTCAAACCAAAATTCTCTTCCTTGGCCACCATTATCCTTATTACTTCCCCTATTAGAATATAAGCTCCTTGAGGATAGGGCCTATTTTGGTTTTGTATTTGTACCCTCATTGCTAGCACAGTCTGGCACAAAGCAAAGACTTAATTTTTTTTTATTACATTCATTCTTTTATTCACCTCACCATCAATAGGGGATACCTCCTTAATTTGGACTTCATTTTAGGCAGTCTCCATGACACCGGAAAACCACTTTGGTGAGTATATATCTCTCTAAATAATTCTTTCTTTCATGTCCATGCTCAGTGAATAGAGTAAAATTATCTCAGTATTTACATCTTTCCAGGAATCTTGGATGAATTTGATGTATATACCCATAATCATTCACTCAGCCTCAGTCCCACAACACTTTGTTTAGCTGGTGTCTATCCTCCCAGAACACTTCTAAGTGAACCTTAGGATTCACCTCTTCTCAGATCATTATGTCAAATTTAATTGTTCTATTTTTTAATCCCAGGATAATTCTTAGTCTGTCAGAAAGTTTCCTGATGGCATAGCAGACTTTTGGTTCTATACTCCTGTTACTATATATAATCACTTAGCTAACTAAATTCTCTCTTTTGATGAATGGATGAAGAAGTTAATAAAGCCAGGTAAATATAACATTATCCTCATAACCTCAAAAATCAGAATATATGAACCTGACATATAAGCAAATACCTAAATTCACAGAAGACAATATCTTCCTTTACAAGAAGCTTTACTTAAAGTAGAAGAGTAGAGAAAGGAGGTGGTAGAAAGAAACTACTGGCTTTCTCTTCTAATTGAAGTTAGAATGACACATACAGAGGAATCTTCTGATTTGAGACAAAGTTATTTATTTTCCTAGAAAGCAAAAACCATACGTTTTAAGAAGATGCGTGGTGGTGGGACAGCTAGGTGACACAGATGATAGAGCACCAACCCTGGAGTCAAGAGGACCTAGGTTCAAATCTGGCCTCAGACATTTGCCACATACTAGGTGTGTGACCCCGGGTAAGCACTGTCAAGTGCGTCAGGGTAGCCTCCAGCAAACAAGTAGACATCAACACAGAACCCCATAGCTGCCTAAACAGGCAGACACCAATGCTTGGAACCCCCATATAAGCCAGCATAGCCAAGTGAACAGGCAGCCTCCAACACAGGGACTACCACATGCTTCAGTGTAGCCCTGGGCAAATAGATGTCAATAGATCAGCACATGCCAGACATCAGCACTGGGATCCAGGCTCAGTACCAAGTAAGCTGTCAGACCCCAGCAATGCCAACCACTCCCCATCCCATCCCACCCATCAGCACAGCACCAGACAGAAGGGTCCTTCCAAAATAAGTGTCACCTGGGGGCCTCAGGGCAACATCAGTGCAACACCAGCCAACAGCCAGGGTCTGCAGCCCTTTGCACAAGAAGTTTGGGACAGTGCCACCACAGGAGCAGAGTACAAATTTAAAAGTAAAGAAAAAGACCAGAAAAGATGAGGAAAATACAACTAAAAACAATCTGACCAGAGAAAGTTATTACGGTGCCAGGAATGATCAAGAAAAAAACTCAGAAAAGGACAACAATGTCAAAACACCTATGGGAAAAGCCCCAAAGAAAAACTGGAATTGGTCACGAGCCCAGAAAGAACTCATGGAAGAACACTTTTTTAAAAAATAGCTTAAAAATCAAATAAGAGAGGTAGAATAAAAATGGGGAAAAGCTATGACAGACCTTAATGGGAACAAAATAGAATAAATCTTTTTTCTCAGCACAGCATGGCACCTATACAAAAATTGACCATGTATTAGGGCATAAAAATCTCAAAATCAAATGCAGAAAGGCAGAAATATTAAATGTATCCTTTCCAGATCATAATGCAATAAAAATTACATTCAACAAAGAGAATTAATTGGAAACTAAATAATCTTATCCTAAAGAATAAGTTGGTCAAAGAACAAATCATAGAAACAATAATTTTGTCAAAGAAAATTATAACAATAACAAAACATACCAAAATTTATGGGATACAATAATAGTTAGGGGAAATTTTATTCTCTACATTCTTACGTCAACAAAACAGAGAAGGATCAGATCAATTAATTGAGCATGCAACTAAAAAAATTAGAAAAAGAACAAATTAAAAATCTTCAATTTTAAAAATTAAAAATTCTACCAAACATCAAAAAGTTTTAATTCCAATATTGTATGAGTGCCAAATTAGAAATCCTGAAAATCAAATGTAAGATTAATAAAATTGAAAGTAAGAAAACTATTGAGCTAATAAACAAAATTAGGAGCTAGTTTTATAAAACAAAAACAGTAAGATAGATAAGTCATTGGTTAATTTAATTTTTTTAAAAAAGAAGAAAACCAAATATCCAATATCAAAAATGAAAAGGGTCAGATCACCACTAATGGAGAAGAAATTAAAGCATTCATTAGGAAATATTTTGCCCAATTATATGCCAATAAGTCTGACAATCTGAGTGAAATTGATGAATTTTTAAAAGATATATAAATAACCCGGATTAACACATGAGGAAATAAAATGCCTAAATAACCCTATCTTAGAAAAAGAAATTGAACCTAGCTAGCGTTGGTCACCCACCCAGTATGACATCCTCCTTGCACAAGCATTTAGACTAATAATGAGAGCCTCAAATGCTAGCAGCAGTGGCAGCGAGTAGCTTACACGCTAGAGGATGTCAGGGATTGGCTAATGACACTAAGTTTCTAACCACAGTTATCTTCAATGCATCACCAAGTCTGCTTTTAACTTTTGATTTTTGCCTGTGGATCTTGATTTAGGTCTAGTAGCTGCTGCTTCTTCTGCTTGTCATACTTCATACTGCTTCCACTTTACCCTCTCTCCCCATGTTCTCTTGCCCTTTAGCCCCATGTATCCCCTTGTCTTTGAGATATTTCATG